TCTAAAAATTTAAAATTAAAAATCATATAAATTATTTTCCTAAAAAAAAATCATATAAATTATTATTATTTTTTTGGCATGCTGTATAACTCTGTTGAATGGCATTTCACGTGCAGTGACCACTTGCCGTCGAGGACCATATATGATTTGTACTTTTAAGTTTCGGATTTAATATTTTTTTTGTTAATATTTTTAATATATTAACTTTTAATTATTACTTAAAAAAAAAAAAAAAAAAAAAAGAGAAAAGAAAAGTGAGGAAGACCTTGGTGGACGAGTCAATGTAGAATTATTGATGCAGTAGGTGGTTGGATAAAAAAAGCATCACAATTTCCCATACCATAAACAAACAGAAGAATCCAAAGGTGACAGCTATGTGTGAAATTTAAAAATTGTGCACTATTTTTTTTATATAATTATTGAACAACATAAAATTTTTAATTTTTAACTTTTATCTTAAATAAAAATTTTTAAATTAAACAATTCAACTAAACTTTTATCAAACAAAATGGCGGACTTTTACCTTCAGTTCAAAAAAAATAAAATGACGGACTGTATAAAACAAAGACTGCATCGAAGACTGGATAATAAAAAATTGTTGATGATGAAACTTTTTAGGTGTTAAAGGGAATATTTCCACTGTTCCCACCATTACCGTCTCTGAGGGGCGGACGAAAGAAGGCCCAGGGTTGAGCACAGGCCCTAATCTGGGCCTCAGAAAGAAATTAGTAACTTAGTAAAGAAAGGATGTATCCTTTTGGCCCACAAAAAAGGAACATGGTAATTGACATTGTTAAACTTAACTCTATTACATGTAGGACTTAAATCATAACCCATTTCCGGCCCTGTAAAAACCTAATGTTCTGCTCTTACTTCTATTTCTATTCCGTTTAATTTAATCCAAAATCCTTTGCAATGGTGTGCTAACATTATATAAAAAGTTAACTATGTTATTTTATTTTAGTTATTATTTGCATATGTAACTATTATTATATCATTTTACTCTAATTTTTCTCTATTTAATTGTGGATATTTATAAATATTTTAAATTAAAATATAAAAATTACAACTTATTAATATTGTTTTTTGGTACTTTTTTATTTACATTTTCACATACATTAGGTTGAGAAAAGCTTAGTGTTCTACTTCAACTTATATTTCTATTACATTTAATTTAAGCCGAAACCCCATTTTTTCTCTACTGATTAGAGGGATGTGATTCTGGTGTGTGAAGTTTAATAAAAGAACAGAATATGCAACCTGTTCATTCTATTTAATTTTGGTCACATAACAAATTCATCTCTTGTATTATCCATGTCCAATGAGTCCTTTGTAAAATTAAGATTAAAAATATTCAATTAGGTTCTAAAATTGCAAATGTTATTTTTTTTATTAAGATTTAACGCATTTTCTACATTTACTACTTCAGTTATTTTATTCTTGGAAAATTTTGCAGTGCATTGGATGAAGACATCAAGTTGTGGAAAATTTAGTCTGTTAGCAAAGCTAAAATCATTTCCCTAATCTAACTACATGGTTTGCGTTTGCCAATACTCAATGACTGATTTTCATAATTATATTACATTCATTTTGGTTTGGCACTTATTGAGTTACTACAATGTGGGTGAGGGTATCATTGTCAATGAGCAAGCATTCATTTTTAGTAGAGACTTCTATTGCTTAGTCTTTCATTTCTTACATTGTTATATCATTAATTGAGTATTTGTTAGTTAAGGCAGTATAAAGTTTCCCATGTATCCATTTAGCAGAACTATTGTTGTTTAGTGGTTTTTACAAATAGCACTGCAAATTTACTAAACATGATTTGGTCATTTTAACCCAACAACTCGCATATGTTGCTTAAACCATGAATCCTTTTATAACCTCTCATTAGTTAAAATTATGTGCTTTTCTTCGCTTCTATTAATTGTGTGAGGCAAGTTAGTACTAGTTTTTCATATAGGCTCCTGTTTTTTTTTCTCTGTGGAAATTACTTCTCACAACATTTTTTCATATGCTAGTGTAAATAATGCTATGGTACACTCCCTTTCGAAAACATGTCACATTTTCTCTAAAAGGAACCTTGTGAACTCTTATTGTTGTTTATAATTTTGACAGTATTGTGTGAGTCATTTTAATGGTCATTGTAACTCATAAAGAAAGTCTTAAAGTTTAATAATTTGTGCTACTTAACATGAATGACTATATTAACTCATCAAGAACTTTTGTTACTTTGAATTAGAGTAACCCATTTTCTTGTTAATGCAAGGGCCCCTTCCCATGGGTTTTAATGTTTGATCAAGACCAAGTAAGCCTTGAACAGCCAACCTTGAGAATAATTGCCATGGTAGCTATTTAACTTAACCTAAGCGTGAGAGACCTTCTAATGGGATAAACTCTTAGTCAAGTTATTGTAGAGATTTTGACCAAAATATCTATTTTATTAATTGATAGGTTAAAATTTTATAGATATTAATGTGAAAATTTTGCTTTGATATTATTGACAATTGGATAATTTTTATGAGATTTTACTTTATTTTACATTACTTTCATTTCTTGTGCAGAAAAGGATTTAATTGAAAGAAATTATAATTTTTAGAACCAATGCAAAGAAATCAAAACTGTGAGGATTAGAGTGTCAATCAATGAGATATAAGGGATCAGAACAGTTTTACCAGTGAAGATTCAAAATTGTTTCGAGGGCCAAAATCCCGACACGAAGCTGTCTTCATAAATTATTTATAGGTGTCGACTCCTTAATCTTAGGTGCTAATCCTTTGCTTGCTTTCTGCTCTCGCACGGGTGAAATTCTATTTTCTTTAGTGTGGATTTCACTTCCTTTGCCATTAGAGTTTTTTCAAGTCCTATAAATACTCATTTTAAATCAGAATTGGAGAGTTTTGGGAGGCTTCTGTTAGACTTTTTGAGAAATTCAAATTCTTGAAAATCAAAACAAAATGAGGTAATAAAGAATTTATTAATATTAAAAATTTTAAAATTATAATTTCTTTATATTAATTTTTTTAATTATTTATATTTGTTAGTTGATATTCTTATATTCATAATTATTATTTCAAGTTTTAATATTTTATTATAAACTAATTTAATTAATTAGGACTACAATGTAACTTAATTAATTTAATATAAATTTTATATTTTTTATATTTTGAGAAATATTATTTCATGATAAGTATTATTATTATTCTTAATACTTTTTAATACTTAATAACTAATAAAACTGACATGAAAAGTATAATTAAGATAGAAATGATATTTTGCATCCATAAGAGTACCAGCAATAAAACAAACAACTATTCTCGTTTCCACTTCCTATACAACATTGCACAACATATAATCAAGTAAATTGTAATTTAGAGCGGTTAGGCAGGAAATGTTTAAAATAATAAAGGATAAAGTCTGAACCTCTTCTTTTTGGTACAAATAATTCAACTTTTGTTGGTTACAAACCCTAAACCTAAAGCCTCAAAAGGGGTTAAATAGATGGAATATTCACCTTAACAAAATTAGAGTAACAAAAGAAATGAAAAAAGTGAAAAAATAAAATAAAATATGAAGAGAAATCAAAATATGTTCCCTTGCTCATTCACTATGTGCATAATAATATGTCCACTATCTTAAACTTTTATAAAACTCGATCACTAAGATGGATGAAGAAATAATACTAAACTAAACTCGAATAAAACTCATGCAACCAAATTACATCTCTAAACCAAACCTCAAACACACACCATTAGGACCGAGACAGGGGAAGGAAGAACCAATGCAAGAAAGAAAATAGAAAATGCTGCAAGCATAAGCTATATATTTTCCAAACTCCAATCATTACAAATGAAAGGTGTAAAGTAAGTAAAAGAAATCATCAAATTGTAGACACACCTCAGCTTCTAAGGATGTTCTGGAATCTCCTTTAATAGCACACAAATGTCAAAAAAGATTCGCCCATTTTACAGCCTTCCTCAGTCTGCCAATTAAATAGATGTGCTGGCATGCGTTTGGGCCATTTGGAAGCTGTCTTTTCTCCATGGCGTGGCTCCAGGCTCTCTCAGCCATATAAAGAACCACATGAAGAAATCTACTTATAATCCAAGAAAACATGGGCATGCATTAACCTTCTTCATTTCCTGCAAAGCCATTTTCTTTTCATTTTTCTGAAGCACCCTGATCAAATGCAGAGTTCAAGGCACAAACCTCACTTCAGTGACAGTGGATTCAGTTACTGCTCTTCGAGTGTATTTACCACGGCCATGTTTGAACTTCAATGATTTATACAACCTCCTCAATCGGGCCGTGCAGTATCTCCTGCACACAAATTTCATTCATTTCACCACAAATTCAGAGATTGCACTTCAACAAATCTCAATGTCACTGTGAATATACCGATAGCGAGTGTAATCTCCATGCTGCAATCCATGCTGCATCTGAGCTGACTCCAGAAGCTGCAATACTGCGAGCAAAATCCGTCAATTACAAAATTCACTAGATTCAACGTGAGTGTTGATTATGCTTACCGTTGATCGAGAATTTGGTAGTGATCTGTTCCGAATTTGAATCTTCAACCTCCATAGCTGAAACTTCATTATCCTTCCCCATGAAGCCTTCAATTGGAAACGCGAAAAAACAAATAAGAGAACAATCAGATCATTGTGAGAGAGAGAAAAAATGGAAATAAAGCGAGATTCCAGAATGTGTGGTTGCGGGAAAACAATGAGATGATTTTCCTGGCAACCAAACAGAGCCTGGGATGTTGAGATAGCGGAGGTAGGAGGCGTGCCTTAGCTTGAGATGGTAAATTAGTAACGGAAGGCCTGCTCCGGCGAGTCGATGCTATCTTTTTCGGTGGCTTTGCTCTTTCGGTGTTTTTGAAAAATGATATTCCGTCCACGGGTTTCGACATTTGGGCTTTCAGTGGGAGCCTATATTAGGCTACATTGGCCCTCCTGCTTTGGGCCTTTGACCACGGGCTGGACAGTTTTCCCGTTTGTTTTATCGCTGTGACTGCGCGCCTTTTTTTTACGAAAATGCAAGAGCCTAAACCGTTACTTCATAATGTAGATCTAAAATTTAAAATATAAAGTGTTGCCATATGAATTTTTTTATTTAGGTGTTTATATTGTAAAATTATATTAAAAAATTATTTTACAGTCATCTTATAACGAGTTCTAACATTAGAACTATCC